GAGGCCGGACCGCAGCGGGATTTAAACCGGGACCCCCGTCCGGGAGCAAAGCGCAAGGACGATGCAGCTGGACTCTCCACGGCCGGTGCTGTCCCGCGTGGGCGAGGCGGGGGGACCCCCAGCCTACGGACCCCCGGTCTCCCGCTTGCCGTCCCCCGAGGGGTCCAATTCCAAGCCCCCCTACAGCTACATCGCGCTGATCGCCATGGCCATCCAGAGCTGCCCGGAGCAAAAACTGCCCTTGAGTGGCATCTACCGTTTCATCGCCTCTCGCTTCGCCTACTACCGAGACAATAAGCAAGGCTGGCAGAATTCCATCCGCCACAACCTCTCGCTCAACGACTGCTTCGTCAAAGTGTCCCGGGACGACAAGAAACCGGGCAAAGGTAACTTCTGGATGCTGGACCCCGAGTGCCACGACATGTTCCAGAACGGATCCTTCCTCAGGCGACGGCAGCGTTTCACCCGCAAGAGGGGTCCCTCCGGTATTAGCCAAGGGACCAAGAAAGGGCCCCGGGGTAGCAAGGGCCAGCCCACCGGTCAAAGGTTGCCGGGGAAGACGGTCAAGATGGAAAACGGTCCAACGGTGGGGGCAGATCGGTCCCGGCGAGGCCAAACTTTCAGCCGGGCATTGCCGGGGCCCGAGGGGATCTTGACCCCGAATCTGTTTGCGGGTGGGCAGGAGGGTCAGGATTCAACCCTGCCTCGTCCAGAGCCCCTAAACCTCCAGGGCCAGCCCTGTGCCAAGCCCACCCCCTCAGGAGCCAAGGCACCGTGTTTCCATCTGCCGGGGGCCCCGGGCCCCAAAGTCGGCCTCTACAGCCAGCCAACGGGATTCGCTTCCCCGGGAAAGAATTACCAGGCGAAAGGAGCTCTTCTGGATGACCTCGAGATGAGCCCCCTGGTCCCCCTCACGGAGAGGCTGCCCTCCCGATCCAGCCCAGAGGTGAACGGAAGCCCGCAGAACGGGCCCCAACCTAGGCAGGTTGGCAAAGGGGTGCCCCAAACGTTGAGCCAGTTGCCACCCAACTTCCCGGCTCTTTTGGGGCCCGGCAAAGCATCCCAGCCGCATCCCTCGCCCGACAGCCTCCCCACCGCCGACGGCAATGAGGGTTACGCCAAAGCTTCCATCCTGCCCGTCTTCAGCTACCCCAACCCGGGGTCTCGGGGCGGGGGCTACCAGTGCCGCCTGCAGGCCTTGAATTTCTGCGTCAACGAAGCCGGGCGGGGGGTCCCCTCCAACTTGGAACACCTTCTGAGCTCGCCCCCCGCTACCAATTCTTCGGCGCCCATCCTGCCGGCCTCTTCCTTCGTGCCGCTGCCGGGGGAGCAGGAAGGCTGGCAAGGGAACCCCTTTCCTCTTCAGGGGGGCAGCGGTTATCAGCTCGGCCTGCCCCACTGCCTCTACAGGACTCCTGGTATGTTCCTTTTTGAGTGACGGGGGAAGAACTACGGGGTCCTGCTTGCCGCCCTCCCGGCCACCCCGCAACAAGGCCCCTAGAGCAGGGGTCCCCAAACTTGGCCCCTTTAAGACCCGTGGACTTCAACTCCCAGAATTCCCCAGCCAGCCAGCCGAATCTGTTTCTGATCCGCCAAAGGGGAGAGATTGCGGAGGAAGGAATCACAAGAGAGGAAGGTAAAAAAAAGCTATGCTGGCTGGGGAATTCTGGGAGTTGAAGTCCACAAGCCTTAAAGGGGCCAAGTGGGGAGACCTCTGACCTAGAGATAAGGAACTCAACAGTGGGGGTGAATTTTGGCAGAATTATTAGGGGGCTATATGGGAGGGGAGTGCCCCCCCCTGCCCTCGTCTTCCCAGCTCAGCATTTTGATCCCATCGGATGAATCCGTGAGGACAATTCACCAGTGGAACTGCCGGCCACCAGAAGCCGTGGGTGGACTGCTCCATCCCCAGAGTTTTTTTTTAAGAAGAGAATTGGACAAACGATTTGTGTAAAATGGTCTAGGGTTTCCTGCCTGAGTGGGTGGGGGTGTGTGTGAGATTGGACTAGATGACCTCCAAGGTTCCTTCCAGCTCCATTCTGAGTGATTGATTGATTGATTGAGCAGGGGGATGGACTAGAAGACCTCTAAGGCCCCTTCCAGCTCCATTCTGATTGATTAAGCAGGGGGTTGGACAAGATGACCTCCAAGGTCCCTTCCAGCTCCATTCTGATTGATTGAGCAGGGGGTTGGACTAGATGACCTCCAAAGTCCCTTCCGGCTCTAATTCTGATTGATTGATTGATTGATTGGTTGGCTTTTATTGTATCGGAATAAAAAGGCCACCCTTCTGCTCAGAAACCGTGGCTCGGTGGACCTCGGCAGGAACGCAACCCGAGCCGAAAGTCAGAAACGCTGAAGGAGCAAACCGGCAGCGGAGGAATCCTGGATACCAGCTTTAAACCCAACATTGCAACCTGGCCAGCTTCTTGCAAACGTGGATAACAAGGGTGGGTGGGCAGGGAAGGGGCGTTTGAACTCTTTAATACTCCATCCTTCAGCAAAATTTAAAAAAAAAAACTGCCAAGGGAAAAAAAAAACTGCCAGCGAAACATTAAATGCCAGCTTTGGAAAAAAAAAATATATGGAATTTTTGGCTTTTCTTGGGTGATTTTTATTTCCCCCTCGTTCTTTTTAGGAGGAATAAAAAGGAAGGAATGATTATCCCAGGGTTTGCTGAGGAAGGGGCATTTATTCTGCGTAGGGTCAGCGAGCAATTTAATCTCCAGTTTTGTGGCCTGGGTTTTTTTGGGGCTGGCTCTGCTTTGGGAGGAATGAGATCATGGGAACGATGGCGTGAACGTTCTCCCCAGAGAATTAGGGTCGGAGCTTGTGAACAGGCTTGGCCACTTTTGGAGCAATTGTGGTTCTTAGACCCTGTCGTTTGTGGCGGTGCGTTAAAGCAAGGCAGGACTAGAAGCCACGGATGGAAACTCATCAAGGAGTAGATAGAAGCAACTTGGAATTAAGGAGAAATTTCTTAACAATGAAAAATAATAATAATAATAATAACCAGTGGAACAGCTTGCCACTGGAAGTTGTGAATGCTCCAACACTGGGGGCTTTTAAGAAGAGATTGGACAATCGTTAGTGTGGAATGGTATAGAATTTCCTGCCTGGCAGGGGGTTGGACTAGATGACCTCACAGGTCCCTTCCAGCTCTGTTATTCTTTTATCTGTTTTAAAGAGGAAAGAAGGTCTTGTCCATTGGGGTTGTTGGGAGCAGGAAATCTAAATTTCCCCCTTGCTTTCGGTCCTCGGCTTACGGCCACCATTGGGCCTGGAATTTTAACAGCTGCCCGAGGCAGCTGTTCAAATCGAGCTGCGCCTCATTTGATGACTGTTTGGGCCACAGTTGTTAAATGAATCACTGAAGTTGTTAAGTGAATCATACAGTCGTTAAGCGGATCTGGGTTCTCTTCCTTGAGTTTGCTTTTCGAGAGCCGGCTGCGAAGTCACAAATGGTGATCGCACCATTTTCAACCGTCGTAAATGCATGCTGGTTGCCAAGGACCCAAACTTTTTTTTTTCATTTTAAAAAATTCTTTATTGAAATTCAAAATATTAAAAAGTTTACAAAAATTCAAAATATTAAAAAGGGTACAAAAATTCCTATAATAGAAGATGTGTCAATATCTTTCATTTTCTTGACAGTACAATAAGTACAGTACATACAATTAATACTTGACAGTTGTTAATAGAATAGAATAGAATAGAATAGAATAGAATAGAATAGAATAGAATAGAATAGAATTCTTTATTGGCCAAGTGTGATTGGACACACAAGGAATCTGTCTTTGGTGCAAATGCTCTCAGTGTACATAAAGGAAAAAATACATTAATCAAGTCAAGAATCATCTGGTACACTTAATAATAGTCATAGGGTACAATAAGAATAGAATAGAATAGAACAGAATAGAACAGAACAGAACAGAACAGAACAGAACAGAATAGAATAGAATAGAATAGAATAGAATAGAATAGAAAATATAGGATAGGATAGATTAAAGAATAGAATGAAGAACAATAGAATAGAATAAAGAATAGAATAGAAAACAATAGAATAGAATTAGGAGAGGAGAAGAGAAGAGGAGAAAATATGGAATGGAATAGAATAAAATTAGAGTAGAGTAGAGTAGAGTAGAGTAGAGTAGAGTAGAGTAGAGTAGAGTAGAGTAGAGTAGAGTAGAGTAGAGTAGAATTCTTTATTGGCCAAGTGTGACTGGACACAAAAGGAACTTGTATTTGTGCAGATGCTCTCAGTGTACATAAAAGAAAAGAGACATTTGTCAAGAGTCAAGAATCACAAGGTTCAACACTTAATAATACTCATAGGGTACAATAAGCAGTCAAATCATACTAGGAAACAGTCAATATAAATAGTAAGGATACAAGCAATAGAGTTACAGTCATACAGTCACAAGTGGGATAGGATGGGTGACAAGGAGTGAGGAGAAGGTTAATAGTAATAGTAGCGCAGACTTTGTAAATAGTTGGACAGTGTGGAGGGAATTATTTGTTTAGCAGAGCGATGGCATTTGGGGAAAAAACCCTCCTTGTGTCTAGTTGTTCTGGTGTGCAGGGCTCTATAGCATCACTTTTAATTGTAGGAGTTGAAACACTTTATGTCCGGGATGTGAGGGGTCTGTAGATATTTTCACAGCCGTCTTTTGGACTCGTGCAGGATACAGGTCCTCCATGGAAGGCAGGTTGGTAGCCATGGTTTTTTCATACTATTAGTAATAGTAATTCACAGTGTCTTAATAATATTAATAAAAAGTAATTCATATATATAGGTCGACGGATCAAAGAAGAAAAAGTCAAATTTTGATCATGTGACTGTGGGATGGGGAATGCTGAAGATTGTTGTAAGTGTGTTGTGAAACAACTCCTGTCATCAGTTTACAGTGCAAATGTTGCTGGTGTTTGCACACACACACACTTACACCAATGAGTGAAAGACCTACAGGTAGTCCACAGCTTACAACAGTTCAATTTAGTGACCGTTCAATGTTACGACGGCGCTGAAAAAAGCGACTGAGGCCTGCCTTTCACAGTTACTCCCTATGCAGAATTGCCATGACCATGGGATCAAAATTCAGATTCACATTTATGACCGTCGCGGTGTCCAGAGGCCAGGTGATTCCTCTCTTGTGACCTTCTGCAAAGAGGAAAGTCAAAGGCGGGGGGAAGGCCAGATTCACTTAACCACCGGGTCACTCACTTAACAACCGCAGCGATTAATTTTAACAACGGAGGCAAGAAAGGTCATAAAACGGGGAAACTCACTGAACAAGTGCCTCACTTAATAACTGAAATCACGGGCTCCATTGCAAGTGGTCATAAGTCAAGGACTACCGCTATGCTGTAAGTAGAAAGTATAACTTTCCTAAGCCGATCAATTTGAACTTGATTTGTCATTTGATTTGGTCAGAAATGGCGTAGGGTCTCCTGCTTGGGCGGGGGTGGATGGGGGTTGGACTAGTCCAGGGGTCGCCAACCTTTTGGGACCTCAGGGACCACCAAACTCATCATTTTAAATCCCTCGGACCAGAGACCCTGGGAAAACCGCCCCAAAAAGTCTGCAGGAAAATCCCCCACCCCGTTTTCCTACCGATCGATCGTTCTTTATTTGGGATCGCAAGATACTGTCTCCAGTTTCATTCTCAGGGAGAGGGAGAGACTTTTGGCTTCATGCAAGGAAAGCAGCAGAAGCCGCGGAAGTCCTTCTTTCTCTCCCCCAAACTCCGCCAGAAATGAGTCTTTGCCGGCGCAGCCTCTCGGAGCAGGAGGCCTTGTAGGGCCCCAAAGACTCATTTCTGGCGGAGTTTGGGGGAGAGAAAGAAAGACTTTGGCTGCTTTCCTTGTGTGCAGCCAAAAGCAGAAGAAGGAAGAGGCGGAAAGAAGCAGCCCGGTGGCCAGGCCAGGCGCGTGGGGCGAGTGGGGCAAGTTCCCTCACTCCACCCTTTTCCCCCTCTCCTCCCTACTTTGTGTTGTTCGCAATGCAAGTAACACAAGCCTTGTGTGTCCCACGGGCCTTGTGTTTCTACGCAGCCTAGATTAATTGCTTTGGGGGGCGGGGACATTTCTCTGCAGACCACCAAAATTTTCTCACAGACCACCAGTGGTCCCCGGCCCACTGGACTAGATGACCTCCAAGGTCCTTTCCAAAACTCTGTTCATCTGTTAAATGGATTTTTGCCGGTTGCAAATCCAGAAGAAGATTTAATGCAACCGTTAAGCATGTTGTGTGAACGCAGCCACGGAAGACCCAGGAAGGAGATATTGAGCTTTATTGCAGAATGTGCTAGAAACAAAAAAAGAAGTCCTCAACTTATGACCGTTAATTTAGTGACCGTCTAAACTTACGACGGAAAAGAAAAAAAATGACTTACGGTCGATTTTCTCCTTTACGACTGTGGCAGCATCTCCTGGTCA